GTTCGAGGGGCGCGGGGGGCCGTCGCGCGTGACGCCTTGTGCCCCCAGAGAATGATGGGGATGGCGAAGTTAGCGATGGCGAGGGAGAGGGGGAATAGCAGGATGAGGATGATGAGGAGGGGGCGGAGGAAAAGGACGGCCGTCGCATGTGACGCCTTCTGCCTTCGCTTCTTGAGGGGATCTTGTGGAGCTCATTTTGCCGTCTTGGGGCTGTCTTGGGCTCCTATGGGGCAGTCTTCGGGGTCCTTTGTGGCCGTCTTGTCGCTCCTCTCGAGGGGATGTCCCCGGGGCCTCACTGGAGTGCCGTCGCCGCTGCCACGAGGGGCCGTCCTCCGGGACGTACTCGGCGCTTCGCGTCGTTGCGTGAGGGTGCTCGTTCCCCTTGGGGGGGATGTGTCCGGGCTGCCTCGAGCTTCGGTTGCTCGGCCCGCTCTATCTAAGGCCATTGCTTTCGAGCCTCGGAGCCGCGCCAGTCTCCGCGCCCGTGAATCGAGATCGCGTCAGGAGCTGTGGTGATGTACCCGATGAGCGATGTGCAGTACTAGGCGGTGTACAAGTCGCTGTCGTTCACCCTCGCGAGCACGATGGCCATCGCAATGTACTTGTGGTTCCGCTCCGCAAGGGCAGCGCCGAACAAAATGTGCAGCGCGCGCTCGCGCGCGCAGCGGGCACTTTGGGAGTGCCTTCGGGGCGCCGCAATGGCCCGACAAAATTATCGGTGTTTGCGTGGCAGAACGTTTTCCTGTGCGGAGCTGGGCGCCCTGGCGCAGGACGACCGAACGACCCCTGCAGCGGGGCTCTGGCAACGCGGTTGCCGCCGCAAAAACTGCCGGTTCGGTGCGCGACCAGTTCAAAAGCGCCGTCCTCATCTCTGGCTTGGTTACCTTTATAGCAGCCTACCGCTACGTCCGCATCTTCAACTCGTGGGTGGGGGCCTACGCATGCACAGTGGGCAGGCCCGACCCCGAGCTGACGGGCGTGCCCTTCAATGGTGCCTACCGGTGCATGGACTGGCTGCTGGCGGTGCTGGTGCGACTGTTCGAAACCCTGCCGTCGGCGCCGCCCTGATGATCGTCAACAGCTACTATGGCGAGCTGACCGTGACCGACGACCTGACCTCGCGCTGGAAATGGTTCGTGTGCTTCTCCTGTACATCGTCTACGAGTTTCTGGTCGGGTTGACGGCGGCCGCCGACATTGAAATTAATCCTGCGATCAAATGTAATCGGAGGTGAGGGGGTGAGATCGAAGTGGAACGGAGAGCCCCCCTACCGGGAAATCGATTTCGGTTTCGTGTTCGTTCGTGCCGTGCGTGCGGGCGAGGCGAAGCTGCGTGGGCGGGCGAGAGAAAGTCTCCTGTGGCTGAGGCGCGGCCAGACCAAATGATTCTCCCCCGGGCGGCCGGTGGCGCGCGGTGTCCCGCCGGTGTCCCGCTGGTGTCCCGTCGGTGTCCCTGTGGCTGAGGCGCGGCTGGACCAAATGTGTCTCTTCCGGGCGGCCGGTGGCGCGCGGTGTCCCGCCGGTGTCCCGTCGGTGTCCCGTCGGTGTCCCGATAGTGATGGTCCCCGATGATCATGATGATGATGGTGATGATGATGGTGATGATGATGATGATGATGATATTGATGATGGCGATGATGATGATGATGATGATGATGATGATGATGATGATGATGATGATGATGATGATGATGATGATGATGATGATGATGATGATGATGCTGATGTTGTTGTTGATGATGATGATGATGATGATGATGATGACGTCGATTGTGAGATCGATTGTGAGATCAGTAGTGTGATCGACAGTGAGACCGAATGTGAGACTGATTGTGAGATCGATTGTGAGATCGATTGTGAGATCGATTGTGAGATCGATTGTGAGATCGATAGTGAGATCGATAGCGAGATCGATAGTGATATCGATAGTGAGATCGAATGTGAGATCGATTGTGAGATCGATAGCGAGATCGATTGAGTGAGACGTTGGTTCCCCCTCCCCCCTCACCTCCTTCTCACCCGCAGGGTGGTCGTATAGGTATCCAAATTGCGCAGATGATGACGGCGATCAGGTGGTGCACCTATTCGGTTGTGTACCTCTTCCCGATGTTGGGAATTACCGCTTCCGACGCTGTGGTAGCCATCCAAATTGGCTGTTGCGTCTCGGACATCATATCCAAGTGTGGTGTTGGCCTCGTAATTTACCAGGTCACGTATGCCAAGTCGACTAAGGGTGAGGCCCTTCTGGGTTGAGCCGCCTAGCGGTGGCGCAGGCGGACGAGGTGTGCGGCTAACCAAAGCTACGCTTGCGATTTTGTTCCGTGAGTCAGGGATTGACTTTTTGCGGGCCCGCGTGCAAATTTCAAAGTTCCGACTGCCCGCCCCGCTTTCCGCTCAGGTCTGCCGCCCATGCCTCGTGGCAAAGGGGGAATGAACATGGGGAGGGGAGGGAAGAGGAGGGCAGGTGGAGGAGGGGGGCACGGTCGGTCGGAATATGCCAGAAAGGGGGGAGAAGGGGGCACGGAACAGGCAGAGGGGAGGGGGCACGGTCGGTCGGCATAAGCCATGGGGGGCACGGAAGACGGGGGGGCGGGGGCACGGTCGGTCGGAATAAGCTGGGGGGGGGGGGGGCTCGTGAGGGGGAGTGCAAAAAAGGGCCACGTCATGGGAGGAGGCCACGAGACAGGGAGAAGGGAGGGGGCACGGTCGGTCGGAATGAGCCAGGGGGGGGCGCGAGGGGGGAGGGAGATGAGGAGGGGCGGGAAGCGGGAGGGGGGCACGCACGGTCGGTCGGAATAAACCTGAGGGGGGGAGGGGGCAGGCCATGGGACGGGGAGAGGGCGCGGGACAGGGAGAGGGAAGGGGGCACGGCCGGTCGGAATAAGCCAGTGCGGGGTCGAGGGGGGAGTTTTCTTGGGTGCTCCGGCGGCTTCCGTAAGGCCACCGCGCGCAGTGGAGTTTTCATCAGCGAGGCCCAGTGGCATTTCATTCTTTGTGAAACGGAGATTTGTGAAGCGCGTGCATGGCGTTCCCCAGTCGCACGCGCTGACAGGTCGCGCAAAAGGCAGCGAGGTCCGCAAGACAGTATGCCACCAAAGATATCACACCCAGACGGCAGGGAACCTTCTTTCAGAGCCCTTCGGAAGGCTCCATCAGGGCTGCAGCTTCCCAGGGCGGTCAGGAACACGGGATATCAAAGTAGCACGAGTGAGCCCCAGTAGGTCCGCGATGGTGTCTAAGAAAGCGACGAGACGAAGAACCAAGAGACCACCGCTACGGTCCAAGAGACCCCTTAGGTGGCCCAAAGGCGGCCCAAGAGGCTCCCAAGGTTGCCCCGAGAGGTCGCCAGAGCTGTCACCTGGCCTAGTTACACCCAACTCGTTGGAATTCGCAACGCCTCGCGGCTTTCCACCAGCCCATCCAAGAGCGATGCCCAGGGGAACTGCCCTTATCGGGGGAGCGTGGCATTGTCGAGGTACCTCGGGAGCTTCAGTAGGCCAGATGCTTCTTGGATGCCTCTCGGAGTCGCTGGGGATGTCTCTTGGGGGCCTCTTGGAGGTCTCTTGGGGCGTGTTGGGAGCCTCTTGGTAGCTCTTGGGGGCTTTTGGGGGCGTCTTGGGCGGCCTCTTAGGGGCCTCGCAGGTGCTTCTTGGGTGCTTCTTGGGTGCCTGGCTCTGTTGAGGCTCTCTTCGGGGCTTTTCGGGCCTTCTTGTGGCCACCTTGGAGGCCAGCAAGCAAAAAAGGGACTGCCGTCAATCAGCCTCGCTCCCCAGAAGGCCAAGCTTGGCCCCAAACCCATGGAAAAGGCCTGATGTTAGCCCTCTCGCGGAGGACACTCTAGCCCCTCGCGAGCCCCGTTTCCAGACCCACGGTGAGGGAGAACGGGAGTGGTACGCTCCGCCCCGAAAGGGAAGAGAGAGGAAGAGGGGCGAGGAAGCACTCTAAGCCACCTCGGCCCAGAGGGCTGGTGCGACCTGGTGCTTTGGCATCCTGCTATCGTAGTCCTGCGCCATGATGAGGTTTCTGTACACTTTCGTGGCCTCCCGCTTCATCGCCGGCTCCTGTCCTTTTCCGGTACTGCACGTGCACCTATTTGCGGCGGGTCCCGCCACCGTGCCAGCACATCATTTTGGGTGGCGGTTGTTCGATGGGCACGGAAGGACGTCACGCGTGACACCTTGTGTCCCCAGAGGATGATGAGGATGACGAAGATTGTGATGACGAGGAAGAGGAGGCGTGGCAGGAGGAGGAGGAGGAGGAGGAGGAGGAGGAGGAGGAGGAAGAAGAGGAGGAAGGCCGTCACAACTTCTGCCTTCGCTTCTTGAGGAGCTTTCGTTGAGCTCATTTTGGCCGTCTTGGGGCTGTCTTGGGCTCCCGTGGGGCAGTCGTTGGGGGTCCTTTTGGTCCGTCCTGTTGCTCTCTGGGGCCACTTTGGGGCTACATTATGTTGTCTTGGTGCTCTCTTGGGCCGTTTTGGGGCCCTCTTGGCGGTATGCGGGGTGTTTTGGGGCCGTCTTGGAGGTGTCTTGAGCCGTCCTGGAGGCATCTTGGCCTCGGGAGCGCGAGTCAGTCGAATTTTTGCTGTGCGCCGTCGCCTCGAGAGCGGGGGGCTGTGGCTTCGGGGGCTCGATCTTGCCGTGTTCCACAAGCTTGCCGTATTCCACGACGTATTGTGGCCTCGGGAGCGCGAGAGCGGTGTACTTCACGAGGGATTGCAGCCTCAGGAGAGGGTCCGGTGCATGCAACACAGTGCTGGTGGAGGGTGGTGGTGGCCCCCAGAAGACTACAGGCACCCCACCAGACAGCGCTCGGCATTCTGGCACGCCCCAGCGTGGCAGGGGTCCCGTTTCATCGCCGCCTCGTGTTCATTTCTTGTACAACTCTACTCGTTGTGATGGCCGTTCTTTCCTTGTCCTCCGTCCACGTGTGCCTCCTGTCGTTGTCTCTGTCCTCCTCTGTCTTTGTCCCTCTGTCCTTCTGCATTGCTCTGCTGTGGCGCAGGCGGACGTGATGGACGTCCCGGACATGTCCTCGTCGATCAGCCTGGCGGGAACCTCCCGCCCCCCTTCCCCCTTCACTCCCCCTGTTCTCCTTCCTTTTTCCCTCACATCCTCCTTCCCCTCCCTCCTTCACTCACTCCCTCACCACCACCACCACCACCACCACCACCACCATCATCATCATCATCATCATCATCATCATCATCATCATCATCATCATCATCATCATCATCATCATCATCATCATCATCATCATCATCATCAACATCAACATCAACATCAACATCAACATCAACATCATCATCGTCAACGTCATCATCATCAGCATCATCATCAACATCAACATGAACATCAACGTCAACATCAACACCAGCATCATCATCATGATCATCAACTTCAACATCATCATCGTCATCAGCATCTTCATAATCGCCACCATCACCATCATCATCATCATCATCATTATCCTGCTCCTCCTGCTCCTCAGCATCAACATCATCATCATCATCCTCATCCTCATCCTCATCCTCCTCATCCTCATTGGCACCATCGTCGTCATCGTTATCAGCACCACCAGCATATCATCACCACAACCACAATCATTATCATCATCATCATCAGCAGCATCAGCAGCATCATCATCATCATCATCATCATTCGTATTATTATTATCTTTATTACTATTATTATTATTATTATTATTACTATTGTTAGCACCATTATTATTACTCTCATTATTAGCATCATTATTTTTTAGTATTATATTATCATAATATTGTGCTCTATTAGTAACATGATTTTCATGACTTGTTATTGTTGTTGCCATTATTATTATTATTGTTATTATTTTCATCATTATCATTATTACCACTGCCATTATTCTTACTATTATTATTATCATTATTATTATTATCATTATTATTATTCTTATTATTATCATTTTTAATATTAGTATTATTAGTTGTAGTATTATTATTCGTATTATTAGTATTTTTATTTTGTTTATTAATATTATTATTATCATCTCCTTCTTCTCATTCTCTTCGTCGTCGTCGTCGTCGTCGCCGCCGCCGCCGCCGTCGTCGTCGTCGTCGTCGTCGTCGTCGTCGTCGTCGTCGTCGTCGTCGTCGATTGTCGTCGTCGTCCTCGTCCTCGTCCTCGTCACCGTCAGCGCCATCGTCTTCGTCATCATCACCGTCAAAACCACCACCATGCCTTTGGGGTGGACTCCATGCCGCGGCAGGGCACGGCCTCAACCGCGGAGGGCGCAGGCCGAGGCCACTGGCGGGCCGCTCGTCGCCGCCGCCCGGGCTTCGGCGGCCTGCGCGCCCCCCTCGGCGAGGGCGGCGCCGCCCCCCGCGGCGGCGGCGCTGCCGCGGAGGTGCTGCGCCTGCGCTGCCGCCGCCGCTCGAGCGAGCCGCGAGCGCCGGTCACTGCTCGAGCCATCGTCGTCGCGGTCGCCGAGAGGAGGCTGGCCGCCTCGGGGGGGGGCCACAGGCTGCGTGCTCTACACTCGAGTGCGCCATGGGTTGCGCCGTCGCGCGCAAGGGCCGCCCGTTGCTTGCGCCACAGGTTGCGGCTCCAGCCGCTCGGGCGAGCCACCGACAAGGGCACCCGCTCTCACCCAGGGGATCCCGCAAGTCGTCGCTATCGGACGTCCTCAGCTTTGTCGGCGACGTCGCTCGGGCGTCTGCGTGGTTTCTCGGCGTGGACCATCGAGGAGCATCCTGCATCACCCTGCGAGACGGCAGCGCACGACACCGAACAAAGCACGGGGGACTGGACGTCCGAGCGATGGCGAGTTGGGGGCGCCATCGATGGCTCCTCTCTGGCACCGCGCCTTTGTGCGCAGGCAGCGCTGCGAGCGGACCGTCCAGCGGCCAGCAGCCCAGGCGGCTCTGAGGGGTGGGCGGGGCGCGCCCCGCGGCGTCGACGGGGGCCCCCCCCTGCTGCTCCAGCGCGGCCCTGGGGTTGCCCGCTGGCGTCTGCTGGGGCGCCTCCTCCGCGGCCCCGGCGCCCTGCGGGCCGCGCGGCTCTGGGGCGTGGCCTCGCGGACGAGGACGAGTGCCATCCGATCCTGCTCTCGCGCGCCGGCTGCGCTGGGTGCAGGCCGGCTCGTCGCTCCGGCAGGCGGCCCTTCCTGAGGCGTCTGGGCGCCGCGCCGCGCTCGCTCCGCCGGGGGCCGCCTGACGGCTGCGGCGCGCCGCTGCGATCGAGGACGCCGGTGGGGAAGGGCAGAGGTGCGGCGAGGTTCGAGTCGGGCCTGTCCCTCTACAGGGGGAATCTTCAAAAATAGTCAAGAAATAGTCTGGGGACGTTTTTTTTATGTGTTTTTTTTGTTTTTGTTTTTTGCATATTTTTTGGTCGATTTTCCGGCCATTTTTTGTCTTTCGTCCAAAGTCCGCCTGCAGGGGGACATGCCCAACCTCAGGCGAGGTGCTCGGTCAGCTCCCCGCGCGCTCCCTCGCGTGCCCCCGGAGCGTCTCGCGGTTGCGCGCCCACGCGGGGGCCGTGCGCGGCCTCAAGGAGGAGTTGCGCGCCGCAGGCGTCGTCGTCGACTCCGAGCGGCGGCCGCATGGGCTTGGCCCGTCGGCTCGATCCAGGAGGCGGTCATGGACGTCGTGGGCTTCCTGCCAGTGGCGGCTGCACGACAGCGTCTGGTCGCCGTGCAGCGCCTCGCTTGCCCGCGATGATCGCGCTGCCCGGGCCGCCGCCGCCGCTAGCGACAGGGCCAAGGCGACGCGCTACGGAGAGCCGCGGCGGCGCTCGCCGAGCTCGCGGCCGCCCCGCAGGCGCACGGCCGCCGGCGACACAACGGCCGCCACGGCACCATGGCGTGGCGTGTGACCGGGCGCGTCAGCACCATCGTCGTGTCGTGGGCCGCGGGTGCCGCTTCCGCTGCCTTCGGCCTCCAGCCCGCAGGCCGCCTTCGCACGCCAGCACTATCCAACATCGGCCGCCCAAGGGTGCCTTGATCATCACCATCGCCAACCATCATCATGACCATCATCATCATCATCATCATCATCATCATCATCATTATTATTATTATTATTATTTTTGTTATTATCATTATTCTTATTATTATTACCATCATCATCATCATCATTATCATCATCATCATCACCGTCATCACCAGCATCACAGCAGCATCATCATCGCTATCACCATTATCACCTTTATCGTCATCATAATCAACCATCACCATCACCATCACCATCACCATCACCATCGGCATCGGCATCACCATCACAATCACCATCACCATCATCACCATCATCATCATCATCATCATCAGCGTCACCATCACCATCACCATCACCATCACCATCGCCATCACCATCATCATCACCATCATCATCACAATGTCAGCATTATCATCATCACTTGTATCATCATCAGCGGTCGTATCATCATCAGCATTGGCAGCATCATCACGAACATCATCACCATCATCACCATCATCATTATCATCATCGTCATCGTAAGCATCATCAGCAGCGCATTCACCACCGTCAGTTTTGTGTGCCATGGAAACGCCCATGGCATTTCTTTGTAGGGTTTCCAGGATTCAGCCGAGATTTTTCGTCATTCAATGACGGCTGCCGTTTTGTTGTCGTTTCCAGGTATCTTTGCCGATGCGTTTTTTTGTTGATCGATTCCGACGCCAATCCGAGGGAACGTTTATTCATTATATAGAGTCGTTTCCCGCTTCGTTTCTACATCGTTCCCAGGTCAGGTTCGCAACGTGCTCTCTTGTGGCCGGTATGGTTTTGTCTGGGCGTGCATCGGCCATCACCAAACGGCGACGAAGCACCAGCAGGCAACACCAAACAGCAGCAGCAACAAACAGCAAGTAATAGCGCGGAGTAACGGCGACCTCAGCGACGGCGGCAACATCCTCAAAGTTTCCCGCTCCCCTGGGCCAAGAATCGAAATTGCCTGTTTGAGACCATTTCCAGTACGTTGCCAATGCGTTGTCAACGCGTTTCCAACCCCCCATTCCGGTAGGTCGGACAGGAGTTACAGGTAACGCGCGATGAGATTTCGACTCTCTCCAAAAGGCTTCTTTGTTGCACCTCCTGCCCGCTGCAGCCGCCAACTACCTCCTGTGCTGCCTGGTTCTGCTACTGCCTGCTGCTACTTCCTGCTGCTACCTCCTGTGCTGCCTGGTGCCTGCTACTGCTGATGCCTGGTGCGCCACCCCGTATTCATTCTCGTCGGCACTCCCGTGTTGTGCCCACTGTTCACCAAACCGTTTTTTTGATAGTTTCCAGGGGTGCGTTTTCTTACCGTTTCCAGCTTGCGACGATTCGCTTTCAAGTAGTTTCCAAATTATCGTGCGGAAGCGATTTTGTTCAGTTCGCGGGCTACGTTGCTCATCGTTTCCAGGTCCCCGCTGTTGACTCACGTGACGTAAGAGTTGGAAGTTATACAGAAAGAGCTCCCTGGGCGTTTCCAAGGCACACTGAAACCACCAGCATCATCAGCATCACTATGCTCCCGCAGTGCGTTCGGCGGAGTGCATTACCGACCCGTGCGCGCGTCCGTCGCTCCGGCGCCACCGCCGCGCTCTGGCAGGGCCGTCCTCCAGACCCCCCAGGGCGTTCCGCGATCCGGGCGGGGCAGGCCTCGAAGGGTTTTTTAGGAGTCCCAGGTGCGTGCGCGGCGTGGCCGGGGGTCCAAGAAGTCAGGCGTCGCCCTCCTCGCTTCTCCTCTGGGCTCCTCCTCGCTCCTCCTCGCTCCTCCTCGCTCCTCCTCGCTCCTCCTCGCTCCTCCTTTGGGGTCCGCCTCGCTCCTGGTCCTCCCCGCTCCTCCTTGAGGCCCTCCTCGCTGCTCCTTTGGGGCCCTCCTTCGCGGCCGGGGGCCTCCCGGTCCTCCTCGCTGCTCCCTTTGGGGGCCCTCGGGGCCGCTTCGGGGGAGTTCTTGCTGTCCTCTGGTGCCGCCTCTGGCTCCCCGACGACGGATCGGGGAACCCAGACCCCCGACGTGATGATTTTTTCATTACGTCGACCCCCAGAGGTCCCGACCCTTTCCCCATGACCG